CATTCTCTATGTGCTGAACCTAGACATGTGTGTTTCTCATATACATTTCTATGATGCTCCATGTGTGACTCTGATGGACACCCTTCTGGGAACCATGTCTATGTCAAAGTCCCTATTTTATAGATAAAAGGTATGAATGCGTTACTATCAAGGTCAAGATTAGAACCTGTTTCCTGACTTGTTTTGTCTTGCTCCCCTCAGGAGGTGGGGCATCATACTTAAGACTAAGCAAACACAAACCCAGTGCTAGAGCTGAAAATGAGCAACTGTCTGAAGGACTCTTCAGAACTACCTAGTCCAGCAGCATGGTTTAAAGATTACAGCATGGAAGGTTCCTGACTGTGCATGGCCTCTCTGCAGAGTACAGCCACTTACAGCCCTGGTCCCCTGATGCCTCGTACTCCTCCAGCTTCCCCCACATTCCCAGGCTGCTTCTGCACGGTAGAAAGACCTAGAGCCCCGCTGGTAAGTGCACACAGATGACTGCTTGTCATCTGCTGTCGTTATCTAAATCAACACTCAAATATTGACATCAAAAGGGTGAGAGAAAGGGAATCAAGGGGGCGGGGGGGAGAAGCAAGATGTTTAAGGAACGTAAAAATGGAAAATTATCTGTTGACGATAATGTGTATGATAGTATCTTTGGACTAATATATAGTGTATTCATGCTGGGAAAACTCATTTTGCACGCTGTAATGATATACAGTGATTGAATGCATAAAAATAATAAAATATAAAAGTTAACAATTATCTTAGAAATTGCTACAAAAGCCATCTTGTAGTAGGTTCCTAAGAACCATTTTAAAAGAAAGTTAGAAAGTGGGACAAGGAAAAAAATGAACTCTTTGAAATAAAAAAAAAAAAAGGATTAAAGCAAACCTAACAATATCAAACAGAAGAAACGCTTCTTCAACAAGCAAGGCATCCTGAGGTTTCCACAGTTAGAAGACTTGGCACAGAATAGTTGAGAGGTATTGTCACGACTCTCTCCATCTCCTGCTACTTCCTTCTCAGTCTCTGCCCACTGCCCTCTGTCTATTTCCACAAAGTTCTAGGAAATGACCTTTGGAGTCATGGCAATAACTGGGACAGGCATGCTACACTTACAAGCTACCAAATACAACCTTGAGAAGTAAACTGAGAGTCAAGAACAAAGAAATGACTAACATTGGGGCCAGAATGACAGCTAAGGGTAATTCCCACAAAAATAAATGATCTTGAGGTTCTAGAGATAAAAAGGAAAGGCTGGGGCCAGATGGTGGACCAGTGATAAAATGCAATGCTCTACAAGATTGACACCTATGGCAAGGTGGCAGGTTCACATCCAGAGACCTCCCTGAGTAGAACGGGCATATCTGTGCCCATGACTCAAGGCTGGCTGAAACTGCGGTTCGATGGCAGAGTCAGGACCCTAGTGTGGGTGACTGTCTTCCTGTGGGTGACTATGCTGATATTAAGGAAAATTCCAATAATTTCCCACCTGTAGGCAGTCAAAACTCAGAAATTTAAATGCCTACACATTCATATAATGCTATGTTTTCAGGACTCTACAAGATGGACAGTCTTTTGCATCAATATTTTGGAACAAAAATTAATATTCTTCTTTCCTTCTCACTCTCTTCATCACTTCTGAGGTACTATAGTTTCCTAGGTTCTTCTGCATTGTTAAGGATCCTTTTTTTCTCCTCTTGCTTACTAACCATGACTTTCACCAGAGTGTAGTTCTCCAACAACTCTTCTCTGTCTATATACTCTTGGAGTCAATCTCACTACTCTGATAAATAGCTCTTTTTTGATACAACAAAACTTCTAAGCTTTCTTCTCTACCCTAATCTATAGTCTTCTATATCCAAAACTCTACCTAGCACTCCCACTTGATATTCCATACGCATCTCAAATTCAAACTTCTCCTTTGCCCCAAATTACACCAGCCTCCATTCTCTTGGAGAAGCAAGATCCTAGTGAGGTTTTTCATGGCTCCTCTATTCCTGTTATCCCATCAGGCACCAAATCTTCTAACTCACTGCTGAGGCCTCTCCCACCTGGCCTTCCTTCTCTTCTTACTGCCATTGCCCTGCCAGAATACAGTCCCTTAATATCCTTACCTGTATCATTCAAATAGCTTATTTTTCTTGTTAGGTTCAATCCATTCTCTATAATAATCACCATTCGCTTTCTCTGATTACATCGCTTTCTCTGATCAAAACCTTAGAAAACTCTTTGGTTTGATTTTCAAAACCTTGAGCTATCTCTCAAGCACCACTTTTCTACTTTTTAGCTTCTTTATATTGAAAGAACATCACTACACAACAAAATTGGGGAGACGAGCTACTTCCTACTTCCACATCATTCACTTAAGAAATACATCCCCACCAATACATTTCTCCTTAAACCAGAATGAAGAGGAGGGGAATTTCCTCCCTAGACGTGGGTATCAAAATCTTCAAGAGAGTTCTGTGCTGTCTAAATTAGACTCTAGTAGCCTATGGGATTTTGATACTACCACTCAGCTGAAAAAAAATCACAGTCCTATGCAATTAATAGCTGGATGTCCTGAAAGATTGGACGTAGTCTGTATTTATAGTCTTCCCTCTACCTACAATGCCTCTCTTCTGATTTCCATAAAATTCTATTTGACAACTAACTTTCAGGCCTCTCTTCAAACAAAACCACTATGTGAAACTCCCCCAAATGACTCAGCAAGAATTACTTTCCCTCCTTGCTGTGCCTATGGTAGTTTCACAAAGTCTTAAGGCATTTTTCACAAATCTCCTAGTGTTTGTGCCTCTTCTAGGTGTCTCTGGTTTTCTCTTAACTCCTTGCTTTAGAAAGCAGAGGTTGTATCTTACTTATGGTTGCCTGTCAGAGGGCCCAAGGCAGTGCCTTGAGCATAATCTAGGCTCAAAAAGAGGAAAGAGAACCCAAAGTATTACTTAACTGCTGAGATAAAGGGAAATGCAATCAAACTCTTGCTTAGAAACTCCATTCACATGCCAGCACACTAGGGGAAGTGACCGAGACAACATCTGCCACTAGTTAGCCACATGACTTTGGTCAAACCACCTCTGTGATCATTTCCTTACCTGTATTAATGAGCAGAAAGAATCAAATCATATCTGGCCCCTTTACAGTCTAAACCATTATGAAATAACTCTCCTCATATTAAAACTATGATGGGAGGGCCAGCAGGTGGCATGGTGATTAAGGGTGCTGGACTCCCACCTGGCCCACTGCAATCCAAGTCCCAGACCTGGCGGCTTACTTTCTTGCTTTTCCTCTCTCTCTCCCACTCTTTCAATCTCACTTTATCCTTCTCTGGTCAAATTAAAATACATAAATAAAGTCAAATAAAATAATTCTTAAAAAAAAAAAAAAAAGACCATGATGGGGGCCAACAGGTAGCATGGTGGGTAAGGCACTGGACTCCCACATGGCCAACCACAGTTCAAGTCCCAGGCCTGACAGCTTGCTTTCTCACTTTCTCTCTCTCTCTGTCTTTCTCTAGTAAATTAAAAGAGTAACAATAATAAATATAATTAAAAATAATTCTTAAAAAAAAAAAAGCTATGAAGGCCCTGAGAAAAAAATATAAGAAGTCTAAAAAGAAATCTAAAGAGATACCCTGACCGGTACCCTTGACTTTTCATCAGAATTCCTGATGCAAAACTTCCTTCATGGAGAATCTTCTATTTTCTTACAAGGATCCCCACCTAGTCTAAGGAAACAAAACAAGGATGAAACCAGAATCCAAATCATTAAAGACAGGTATGGGCCACCAATAGATTTAAAAAGACAGATGTAACTCATTAATACACAGAAGTCTATACCGGTTCACACAATTCTTAGAAGATGTAGGATGCACCTAAAGAATTTACAGAGAAATAAGTGACCCAAAGACTAACAAGTGGGGCCAGCAGGTGGCATGGTGGTTAGGGTGCTAGATACTCCCACATGGCCGACCATGGTTCAAGTCCTGGACCTGCTGGCTTGCTTTCTCACTTTCCCTCTCTCTCTGTGTTTCTCTCTGGTCAAATTAAAATAAATGAATGAATAAATAAATAAATAAGTCTTTAAAAAATTATTTAAAAAAAAAACTAAAAAATGACACTGTAACAGTACCTCGTGATGACATGCAAAAACTGTGGTGTGAGCACCGCCTGCTGAGACTTCTCAGGGTACTGGTAGACTGACATTAATTCAACAGACTTGACGACCATGTAGAGGTAACCCACATGAGGTAATGAGAAAAAACAAAAGAGACTCAGCAACTCTTTCTCCTGAGACAGGCTTTTTCCATCAGAAGTAAGAGAACCTGCACATAAAAATAACAGACGTAAATACGACAAAATAAAGAAATAAAGGGATATAATCAATCTATGATTTTTCTATGCAAACTGTCAGTGGATAACCGGAGAGTTGCAAAGGGGACGTTGCTCTTTATAGAAAAACGCCAGGAAGAAATGAAGAAGATGTGATATAATTAGAATGTCAGCATTTTGTAACCCCTCTGAAGACCTAGGTAATGCCCGTCAGTGGCTGTGAACATCACAAAGAGACTCAACCAGATACCACAGGCCGTCCAGCAGAGCGCAGTACCAGTTGTGTTACCAAAAAGTAGCAATAATCTGATCAAGCCTGAGTCTAGACTAGCACTGTCAACAGAAGTATAATGAGCTGCATTTGTAATTTAAAGTTTTTAGTGGTCTTATAAAAAGTTAAAAAGGGACAGGGGAATTATTATATTTTAACATTAATATTGTATTAACCCAACATACTTAAAATATTAGCATTTTAACAAGCAATAAACAAAAGAATTAACCATATATGTGTGTGTGTATAATATATATATATATATATATATATT